TGAATCTATGAATCTATGAATCTTAAAATTGAGCTTTTTTCTTTTTGTTTTTTGCATCATTACCAGTAATAATGATTCTGCGATTGGAATTTAGCTAACAATTCAATTATATTGCTTGAGCCACACAAAAGAATCCCACTCATTCTCCCAAAGCTGCATTGGCTCTGTATTGTTAACAGGAGTAAAAAACAGTAAAAATTTATTTTACTGAGTAAAGTAAATACTTACGGCTTGAAGCAGGTCTATTGCATAAAGAGGACTCATTTTTATTCAATCACTTTTCAATATCACTTTAAGATAAGTATAGAGACTCAAACTTTCTGTAAACAGATTCAAACCAGGAAATTTATAATTGCTGATTCAATACAAAGCCTGTTAGATCTACATCACTGCTTCAAATCTGGGCCTGGTTGGCAGAGACTGAAAGTTGTTACTATCCACCAGTTCTTTAGTGGTTTGTGTGAAATCAGTTTGGGTTGTTATTCCCGTCCCTAGTGGGCAAGGTCCACATCAGAAAAAACACTACAAAAGTAGGAACTAATAGGCATGTTTTTGTTTTCTCAAGAGAGAGTCCAGGTATTAAATGGGTGAATGTAACAATCTCTCACCTTTTCTGGCCTCCACAGTTAGGAGTGGAGGTGGATTGGTAGAATGGTGGAGGAAGACTTGGACTATTCCTGCTTGGGACAAACCTGTTTTGTAGAGGGCTTTACTTTCTGGGACTGGCAAGCTTCACCTTTCACAAATGCTGATTTCACTGTAATAGGTTTAAATGAAAGTAGAAAATAAGTTCAAAATGTTTTTTAAGATAGGCTGAAGTCTAATTTACTTTTAAACTATGAGAAAATCCTTGGCTCATTCATTTTTTTAAAACTACATGTATTTTTTTGTGAAGGAAGCCCTTGATATCTGTTAACCTTTAAATCTAGTTTCCAGTTCTATATAACATCATTATTGCATGCTTTGACAGCTACATATTTAACTACCTTTGTGGAGGTTTATAGATTCTTATTTCTGATTATGTGACAAACATATATTATCTAATATTCATGATTAAAATGTATAATCTACAAGAAAATATTTAGAAGATTTTAAACTGGAGGATTAAAAGAGATTAGGGGTGTGGATGAGGGAGGCAATATATAAATCATATTTAAAATGAAAGCTGTTACGATTTTAAGGGGCAGGGAGGACTTGGCAGAAACAGAGAAAGAACTGAGGTTAAAAAGTTAGGATCAGGATTAAAGCATGGAGCTGCAGATTTAAGTATCAATTTATGAATGTTTAACTTTTGCATTTGGAGATGATCTTTTTTATCTTCCTCTAAACACCACTTTCTCTTGCTTCCCATCACCCTCATTGCACTGACACCATAGCAGCCCCTATGCACATCATTAAAACAGGCAGCCGATTAGATTTTAATTTTCAGAAGACTAGAGTAAAATCTCACGTTTACATTTCTGGGAAGCTGCCTAGATACACAACAAAACACACAATTGGTTACAAAGTATTTGGATCCTAGCTGAATTAACATAAATGAGAGCTCCGCACACAGATCGAGGACAGTATGTGTCTGAGAGAACAGC